TACAATGCCTTTTTTTAATGAGAACGTTTAAACGAGCAAATTGTAGTACTTTAATGTTAGCCACAGCGCAATTCAGGAAACAAGAATTCGTAGATCTCATACCTCCATGAAATATATGAGTTTTTGTAAATGACATGTCCTCATTAAATATGCAAATGGCCTCTACATGAACATAATATATGCATAGTGGTATTAACCTTTAAGTAACTTACACATGTCACAAGGTAGAAAATTCCCATCATTCGCCAATATGGAGTCACAAAAATTTTCACATTAATTATGCAAATTATGTCATCATTTGCATAGTTGGTATCTGTTGATGTTCCGCCTGCCACAGATTAAATAGATTACATGTATAGCAGTACTATTATATACAACACTGTAATTATAGAATTTTCTCATTGATTTTGCAAATTAAGTCCTCATTTGCATAATTTGCATTTAATTATGTACAACTCTCTCTCAGCTACCAACATACAAAAAAATAATGAAAATATATTGTTCCTATCTGGAATTATTGGCTTTAAAAGTTTTTTACCAGAAACTAACCTGCAGTTCCAGAATAAGCTGCTAGGGGGATCAAACTTACACCACTTATTCCTGACAGAATAAGCTATCTGTCACCAAAACATCAAGACCATAGCATGTTCAGGACAAAAGGTACGAAAACCGTTCTGCTGCAGGGTCAGCCACCTGGAGGCCCATATTTGACCTTGACCTTTGCCTTCCTAAGACATACCAGCATACCAAATATCATCACAATCCATAAAGGCGTTCTGAAGTTATGCTGACTACAATGTGCGGAAACACACACACACATACACACACACACACAGACAGACACACACACACACAGACGCGACCAAAAACAATACCTCCATTTTTCATGGAGGTAACTAGATTACGCTAATTATGACCTTATTTCCATTGTTAATGAGACAAATAAAAAACATTTACAAAGACTCATATATTTCATGGAGGTATGAAATCTCAGAATTCTTGTTACAGTTGCGGGCATATGGGTATGATATAAAGGATTGTATAGTATAGAAATAAATATATATATTATATATGCTTCTTTTTATTATCAATATAGCTTGCTTGGTCCTTAGCATTGGAAATAATGGCTTCAGATCTCTATTACATATGTATTTTAGAAAGATCCTTTAGCAAAGAAACAAGTAAAATACAACAAGGAAAATCGTAGATTTTGTACCTCCGGGTATTGTAATGTATGTTGCAGAATGTTGGGTGCATGTTGGGACTGTTCTTTGAATTAACTAGTGAATTCGCGCGAATACCATTTTTTTCGAAAAGTTTCGAAATGTTTGTAATTGGCTAAATGATGTGTGAAATCACTAATCCCCCCTAGCCGACTGGAGCCCAAAAATAGAAAGGACAGGAGGCATCCCGTGGCGAATCTGGCTGCCCGACCCTCAGCGACCAGCGATAATGTAAACAAACACAGTAACGGGTG